GGTATCCTAAGTCTTTTTTCCAGTTGCCGCTGTCCATGAATCAAACGCCTGGTCCCAAAGCCAAGTCTTCAGTTTTCTTCTAAAGGACAGGAGGGAGGTGACCCACCTGATGTCCCTGGGGAGAGAGTTCCACAGACGGGGGGTCACTGCTGAGAAGGCCCTGTTTCTCATCTCCACCAACCACATTTGCGATGGTGGTGGGATCGAGAGCAGGGCCTCTGCTGAAGATCTTAAACTTCATGATGGTTTGTAACAGGAGATACGTTTGGACAGGTAGTCTGGGCCAGAACCGTTTAGGGCTTTAAAGGTTAAAACCTTTACGTGATCGCATCTCTGTATTCCTTCCATTTCCCCCAGCATCATTGGTTTCCTCTAAGCTTTCCCATCTCATGATGTGGCCAAAGTACTTCATCTTTGCCTCTAATATCCTTCCCTCCAATGAGCAGTTGGGCTTTATTTCCTGAAGTATGGACTGGTTGGATCTTCTCGCAGTCCAAGGCACTCTCAGAACTTTCCTCCAGCACCACAGTTCAAAAGCATCTATCTTCCTTTGCTCAGCTTTCCCTATGGTCCAGCTCTCACATCCGTAGGTGACTATGGGGAATAATAATAATAATAATAATAATAATAATAATAACAACAACAACAACAACAACAACAACAACAACAACAACAACAACTTTATTTATACCCCGCCTCCATCTCCCCAAAGGGGACTCCGGGACAGCTTACATGAGGCCATGCCCATCAATACAGCAAACATAATAGGAGCCCCCGGTGGTGCAGTGGGTTAAAGCCCTGTGCCGGCAGGATTGAAGACCGACAGGTCGCAGGTTCAAATCCGGGGAGAGGCGGATGAGCTCCCTCTATCAGCTCCAGCTCCTCATGCGGGGACATGAGAGAAGCCTCCCACAAGGATGATAAAAACATCAAATCATCCTGGCGTCCCCTGGGCAACGTCCTTGCAGACGGCCAATTCTCTCACAACAGGAGCGACTCCTGACACACACACACACAAAAAAAAGCAAACATAATATAACACAAAAGCATAGCAAAAGACCAGAAAATAAAATACATAAAATGCAAAACCAATATAATAAGCGACACAGCAATATAAAATCAAACAATAAAACACAAATGGTTACACCGGGCAGGGCCAAATTCAAAGATAAGATACCATTGCTTTAACTATGCGGCTCTTCATCGCTAGTGTGATGTCTCAACTCTTCACTATTTTATCAAGATTGGACATTGCTCTCCTCTCAAGAAGTAAGCATCTCCTGATTTCCGTGCTGCACCTAGAAATACAAAGTCTGTCACTGCCTTCACGTTTTCTCCCTCTATTTCCCAGTTGTCAATAATTCTTGTTGCCATAATCTTGGGGTTTTTGATGTTTAGCTGCAGCCCAGCTTTTGCACTTTCTTCTTTCACCTTGATTAGAAGGCTCCTCACCTCCTCCTCGCTTTCGGCCATCAAAGTGGTGTCATCTGCATATCTAAGGTTGTTAATGTTTCTTCCAGCAATTTTAACCCCAGCCTTGAATTCGTCAAGCCCCGCACATCGCATGTGTTCTGCATACAAGTTGAATAGGTCTTCATTTTTAAGAGCCTTGGTGTCGTTTTGGATTCACAGCTGACAATGGAAGCTCAGGTCGCTGCTGCCAGCAAACAGGCCTTTTTCCATCTACGACAAGCGAGGCAACTGGCACCTTATCGGTCGGTTGAGACTCTGGCAACTGTCATCCATGCCACGGTCACATCTAGGCTGGATTAATGTAATGCCTTGTATGTTGGCCTTCCTATTTCTACGACCCGAAAGCTCCGTATTGTCCAGAATGCTGCAGCCAGGTTACTCACAAAAACGCCCATGAGATGCCATATAACACCAGTGCTGCGGCATCTACACTGGCTCCCAATGGATTATCGTGGTTTGTATAAGATGCTGGTCCTGACCTTTAAAACTTTATATGGCCAGGGCCCATTGTATCTTAGAGACCGTCTTTCCTTCTACCATCATCGGAGGTCGCCACGACCATCCCAACGCGATTTGCTCTGTTTACCGGGTCCTAGGGAAGTGCTCTTGGAAAGCACCAGATGCAGGGCCTTCTCTATTTCTGCCCCTGCCTTGTGGAATTCCTTGCCTCCCTATTTGAGAGCCATACGTGACTTGGGGCATTTTATCCTAGCACTTAAGATCTGGCTTTTTACCAGAGCATTTGATCCATGTTATTTTAATATTTGTATGTATGTGTTTTATCCTGTATAATTTCTGCACTGTAAATCGCCTGGCGCATCTCGGATGGAGGGCGATTAATAAGTAATTAAAGATAATAATGATGATGATGATGAAAATTGTATTATTCTTTCTTTCCTCTTTTTTTTTTAGCACTGTGTGAATTAGTTCACTTCACTTCACTTTACATCTTAAATAGTCGCTCTCCACCAAGGTGCTCTGAGCGACTTACAGTCTAAAATAGCATTTACACAATATAAAACATATTAGTTCACATAAACACACTTCATCCATCTGCCATTGGCCCGGCCTATGCCTGATATATATACATTACATATAAGATAATAAATAAGATAATATGTAAACATTTATTGGGGCTCCATGAGAAACTTTTGCTTCAAAAAGGACTCAGTGGCTGAAAAGCTGGTCTAAGCTTTGGGGTGGGCTGAAAGGTTGGATACAAAGAAGCCAGTACTATGGTTTGCTTACTTTGATTTTAAAACCCTTTTCTCCTCTCACTCACTTTGGTCCCTTCTTCACTGCCATATAATCCAGCTTTGTTAGAACAGCTAATACACATTATCTGCTTTGAACTTGTGTGAGTCTATACCATTATATAATTCAGTTCAAAGCAGATAATCTGGATTTTATATAGCAGTGTAGAAGGGGCCTATGTCGCTGAACCCTACCAGACTGAGCCTCCCTATTCGGGCATGGAAGAAACCATTGGCCAGCTTCCTCCCTCTTGGTATTTACTACATGTTTTGACTTGCTGCCTCATAATAATAATAAATAATAATAAAACTTTATTTATATACCACCCTATCTCCCCAAGAGGACTCAGGACAGTTTGCATAAGGCAAAACATTCAATTGCCAGAAGGGAAAACCATACAGACAAATTAAAATAAACATCATAACATAAAATCCTACTAAAACAAACACAAATATTTAAAAAAACCAGTTTCGTTATAACTCCATCAGATGGTTTCAAAATACCAATGGCCTGAATTACAAAATGGACATAGCCAACTATGAAAGGGGTGCCACAAAGTGTTATAGGGCCACAGAAGATGATAAAATTGCAGAGCAGGGTCCTAGCTGGTGGCCAAGGGAAGGGCCTAGGAACTAATCAATTCTTGAAGACCTGCTGGAACATCCATGTATTCATGTCCCTATGGAAAGAGGACAGTGTGGGTGTTTGCTTAATCTCTCTGGGGACGGAATTCAAAAGTCTGGGGGCCACCACCAAAAACGCCCTCTCCCTCATCCACACCAACTGTGCTGTGATGGTGGCGGGAGCAAGAGGAGGGTCTCCCCGGCAGATCTTAGAGCCCGTGCTGGTTCATAAGGGGGAAATGCTATCATGAAGATAGGCAGGATCCAGATCGTAGGCCCCTTTTACACTGTCATACAAATTCCAGATTATCTGCTTTGAATTGGTTTATATGACAATGTAGACTCATATAATTCAGTTCAAATCAGATAATGTAGATTTTTTAAAAATGTCAGGAGCAACTTGAGAAACTGCAAGTCGCTTCTAGTGTGACAGAATTGGCTGTCTGCAAGGACGTTGTCAAGATTGTTAAGATCTTCTGGAGGGGCCCTGCTCTCGGTCCCACCACCCTCGCAATCGCGCCTGGTGGGGACGAGGGACAGAGCCTTCTCGGTGGTGGCCCCTCGGCTCTGGAACTCTCTCCCGCTGGAGATTAGATCTGCCCCTTCTCTCCTGACTTTTAGAAAGCTGGTAAAATCTTGGCTTTTGAATATGGCATTTGATGATTGAGTCAATAACTCTTGACCACACTGACGGATGGTGATGAATTGTGATTTCACTCTGACGACCTGGCCTTATGTAATTGGATGATTGTATTTTAATGTATTTTATGGATTAATGTATTATGAGATTGTGATGTTTTATACCATTGTCTATGAATCTCCTGTTGTGAACCGGCCTGAGTCCCTCTTTGGAGATCTAGAGGTTAGGTAGATGGGTATTTTTTAACAATGACATTATTGTAGAGCAGAAGGGTTGTTTAGGGTCACCAATCAAAAAGTCATGCTACATTTGACATAATGGAAAAACTATATACACTCATTAGATTGCTTGTGGGAATTCAGGGTTTAATGGAATCCACGACATGTGAGTGTGGAGAAGAGCAAACCACAGACCACCTGCTGCAATGCAGCCTGAGCCACATGCACAATGGAGGACCTTCTTGCAGCAACACCAGAGGCACTCCAAGTGGCCAGCTACTGGTCAAACGACATTTAATAGAATATCAAGTCTGCAAGCTTTATGTTTTGTTTTGTTTGCTTGCTTTTAATGCAATACAACTGTTTGGTTCGCTCCTGACACAATAAATAAAATAATTCAGGGTTTAATTGGCAAGGTTTATGTTTCCTGTAGATGGTGAACTGTGCAGACTTTTTAACGCACTACACTGAGCTCCATTTCAACTCACAAGGAAAGACCAACTGCATGTATGGGTCTTCCTCTCACATAGAGTGAGCTTTTGCATTTAGCCAAGGCCAAGCCATTTTGTATTTCCTGCACCATTTTATTTATGAATGTCTTGAGCTTCACATATGCCATTTCCTGATAAAGAGAGCACAGCACATGACACGGCTTGTTTGCACTTTGGTCGGTTCGGAAAACTGTAAAAAAAAGGGGGGGGGGGTGTGGTTGTGGGAAGGCACATGATCTGGTGAGCAGAAGTCATATAAAGCCTGGGTGCAATCAGTCCCACCCATTCATTGGCACTGACTCGCTTCCCTGGAAGGGAGCGGGTTGATTTGGTGTGGTATGTCATTCTTTTCTCATAAGATCCACCATTTCTTTCTGCAGCTCCTCGCCTAGTTCTGCGTTGAAAGGTAAGATATTGAGAATTTGCTGATAACAGGAATTTCCTTCCAGCCTGCTTCTCTCCTGGGAAAGGACCTCTACTCTTCTCTGCCCTCCCAGCTTCTCAGGTCTTATGGTTTGAGGCGAGTTGGATTGTTATTACTATATTTATTTATACCCTGCTTTATCTTCCCCAAAGGGGACTCAAAGAGGCTTGACATAAAAACATTCCTAAACAATTTTAAATATACAAACATTAAAACAGAATTAAACACAAACAAAACTAAAAATTGATAGCTAAAATCCATCAAAGCTAAAATCCAACAGCACCCCCAACTAGATCATAAGGACCTTAATCTTTAAAGCCTGCCTGAATAAAAAGGTTTTAACCTGCTGCCGAAAGGACAACAGGAAGGGGCCATTCTGGCTTCCCTGGAAAGAAGGGGGTTTCAGAGTCGAGGGGCAGTCACTGAGAAGGAAGACCCACTCCCTCATTCCTACTAACTGAGCTTGAGACGGATGTGGAACCGAGAGAATGGCCTTTCCTGAAGATCTCAGGACCCAGGCAGGTTTGTACAAGGGGATGCAGTCGGCCAAGTAGCCTGGATGACATCTAGCACAGTGTTTGTCAACCTTCCTAATGCCCTGACCCCTCAATATAGTTTCTCATGTTGTGGTGGCCCGCAACTGTAGCTAACTGTAATTTTGCTACTGTTATGAATCATCATGTAAATATCTGATATGTAGGATGTATTTTCATTCATTGGACGAAATTTGACACAAATTACCCAATATGGCCACATTTGAATACTGGTGAGGGTGGGATTGATTTTGTTGTTTGGGAGTTGTAGTTGCTGGGATTTATAGTTCACCTACAATCAAAGAGCATTCTGAACTCCACCAACGATGGAATTGAGCCAAACTTGGCACACACAACACCCATGACAAACAGAAAATACACTGGAAGTTTGTCTTTGAGGCATGCAAAAATGAACCACACCCCCCCCCCCCCCCACAAACACCCTTAGGGGTCCCAATCCTCCCCCCCCCCGGTTGATCTAGGGGTTTAATGGTCATAAACAGCACTCTGAATTGTGCCCGTAAACAGACTGGCAATCAGTGGAGCTGCTGCAATAGGGTTGTTGTCCTTTCCCTCTGGCTGGCCCCAGGTAGCAAGCAACTCGCTTGCAGCTCTTTGGACCAGCTGAAGTTTCTGATTGTTTAGGGTTGGATGTAAATATTTAGGAGCTGCTGCTGCATCCATGAAAACTGTGGCCGAAGTTGTTTGTAGCCTCTGGTTACAAAGTTGTATTCTTGAGACACAGCAGCAGCAGCAGCTCCAGAACTGTTACATCCAAAGTCTGGACTCAAGCTTTGGTGCTTTCTTTTAGCGGAAAGCCTGGGAGGGAGTGCTGTGGTTTAGCTTTGGATATGTTTTTAACAGTTTTTAAGGATTTTAACTGTTCATTTTGGTACTGTTCCATTATTCCGACGGAGACGAAAAGGGGACGTAGACAGAGAAGGATAGTCCATTTTATGGGGGATTGGGGGACCGGACTGGAGGGGGGGGGCACATGATCTTGGAGGCGTTTGAAGGAGTAAAACCACTTCCCTCTGTTTTTCTGTTATTTCCTCCACCCATGTCGCCATTGTTGAAACAACCCACGTTTATGACATTAGAAGTGGGGGGGGGGGGGG